CTTTCACCGTAATATTTGACGTATTTATTTACCTTTCATTTATTGTGCTACATCGGATACAACAAATAAAAGATACATTAAAAAATGATAAAATATTTGATATTTGTCATTTATAAAAAATATTTGATAACTATTTTTGCTTATGTCAATTAGAGAAAGGATTAGAAATTGAAGGAAGATGAGGAAGTGATACTGGATGAGAAGATAATCGCGATTCACATAGAGTTCTTACGTAACCCGTTCTTTTATTACATATGTCGAGCATATTCATAAGAATGTCTCGCTTCTTCGGTTTTCTTGTAAATAACAACATTCAAATCAACTTCGCAAAGCATAAATATTATAATAATATATATATTATATAACATATATATATTTATATATGTATACCCAATATAGTCCCCCATAATTCGTATATTTATATATTTATATATTTGTATTTTCATATTTATAATTTGCGTTATGTATACATATATACCTTCGCGTTTAATACGTCTTATCACGCACTTACAATGCTAAGACGGCGAATTTCTTTCACTTTTCTTTTTCACGTCGATCCGCTTTTTTTATTACTTTAGAGGCTACGGTCAAAATATCTCTCGCTAATAAGATTTACCCTTCTTGCGCGTTTCTCCGCGCGTGAGAAACGATGGCGAAAGTACGAAAAAACTTAAAAGCGAAAATTCACGAAACGGAAAAATGGATTAATGATGTTGGTGTACGTGACACGCCGTACACTACCATCGCTGGTTGCGAAGCTTATTCTACGTGCAATTCTTATCACTGGTATACTTCTATTTACAGGGTTCGCCAATGACGAGTCAACGTTCGAGCATTCTTAGACCGATAATTCGAATAATCCGCGTCACCATTTTCCCTTAGCCATTCACAGATTTCATTAACATCCTTTGATTGTAGTAAGAATTTAGAGGTAACTTTCAAACTATTTTTTTTTCGTACTATTTTTGTCTTTTCTTTTATCTTTGACTTATAATTCACTGTCTTTCAATTTCAATGATTCCGCATGTGATTCGTAAGTCCGATAGTGTGTTTTTATTCTGAATTTATAGGATCTATTTAAGTTAAGATTTAAAAGAATTGAAAATGAATTTTATCACAACTACAATGCTAACGGAAAATGGCATTACGTATGGGTGTTACAGGCAAGAAGTCATTGTCATTTTACATGTAATCACATACACGCGCACACATACACGTACATACACATGTACAATGTGGATTCTACTTATATTGTGGGCTGTGGTTGGTTCTCAATAGGTGATAGATAGTTTTAGAGTTTTTAAATAAGGCCTGAAAAGAACATCTTTATTTTGTTGCGTAATAGTCTTGGGTTTTTAGTGAACAAAATTATTCGAGATATTTAAATGATTGTTCTATATTTTTGTTTTACATAAGATTGTATAGTACGCTTGTAACTAGCTCAATCCATTACGTAACAAACTTTTTAAGCGTTACTTAATCCTTCATCGGCAATGTGAAATTTTCACACTTCGTCTGGCTCTTCGAACTTCAGTGCAGATTTTTATATTATGTCGAACTATATAAAAATCTATAAAAAAATTCTTACATTTTTGTAAAAGCTTTAACAACAAATTTTTATTATCATAGAAGTTAAATTGTATTTTAATTATTTTTTACAAATTTAAATTTATTCACCAAAATTCATAATAAAAAAAATTGACTGTGTCTTTAAGGCCAATTGCCGGCAGAGGGCATTATTAATTACTTGTGCCTATTAGTATTGTGAAATAAATATTCACTATACCAAAATAACAGACGAATTCAATTATCTTTGAGTTTGTGAAAGAATTGCAAAGTGTTCGTATTTATCTTTCCTACTCAAGATTATATAAAATTGTATGAAATTGATAAATAAAACTTTGTATAATTATACATAGAGTAAACTGTAATTTGAAAATGTCAGTAATAGTTAACATTAATATAAAGAAAAATTCAAAAACACTTGTGCATCATTTTGATGGTAGGAATAATATTGGTCTAAAACTTTATTTAAAGCCTATCGACGTATCGTATAATACAATCTATATATTGCTATGCAATATATTGTGTTTAATTACTTTTTTTCCGCAATTTTATTTTTATCAAACAAACTGTTTATAATGTATCTATAAAAATGCTTTTCAATCAGAAATATTGGTTAATCGTTCATGCGTAAATGCACGCAGTAAATATGTTTTAATCGATAAGTTGAGAAACAATCGTAGCGTTGACCAGATTGGGATTTGTCGCAGTAATCTCTACAAATTGCAAACGTTGCGATGTCCTAAAGGCGCGTGATCCCCTCATGTTAAATGCTTATGACTTTTAAGATCGCTAGTCTCGCGAATGATACGATTACAGACCTCATCAGAGTAAGTCTGCGTAATCCCTAAGTCGACCCGTTCCCTTCTTTAATCCATGCCGGGCATTAACTCCTTTGCGCGCCGAGTGCAGGGACTCTCTCGAACCTGTTGCTTTAAACAAGATGTACGCTGAATAATGGATATTCCTAAGTAGTTAGAAGTCCGCTTAAAACCCGGTACGGCCGAGCCGGCCTCTCTCACGACCGCCTACGAATAAATCCCAATTTGATCAATTAATACGTAAATAAATCGATCGCGCGACACAACAGCGTGAAGCGTGGATTCGATATTTATAGCAAATATGTAATTTACCTTGCAATTATTTCCTGTTGATTCTATCAAGTGGACACTCAGCCGGAAAATTTTTGGTGCCGATTCAGTTTGATTACGAAACATACGTCGATGTTTCGCTATGTGTAGTATCGATGTGCGTATATGCGTATGGAAGGTTACTAAGGCCTGTTACACAATAGAATCACAAATCGTAAGAAATTAACTAATCATAGTCAATTATTTTTGTCATATTCAACTGTGATTGGCTAATTTCTTACGGGTTACGATTTGCGACTCTATTGTGTAACAGGTTTAAGGCGGTATTCGTAGTCGATACTTATTTTAGACCATCTTAAGTAATGTCTTAAGATACTGATACAATTCTGCGATTGGTTGATGACATCTTAGAAGACTATATTTAAGATAGTCTTAAATATAAGACTCGAATATGAATATCGATCTTAGGGCACGCATTTCTTTCTGTTTGTATAAATCGCTTATTCTTAACGCGTTAAAAAGTAATAAAAGATAATAGGTCACAAAACAGTTTCAACAATATACCTATGCTTAAAGCTTCTGGTCACAATTGCCGTCCCCGGGATCATGACGTCAGAAACGAGAAATGCAAATCGTGCTTACATCAAAATAATTTGTTTTTTTCCGTACATTATCACAAGTATGTTATAACGTAGATATATATTAAAACAGATAACGTAGATAACGTAGATATATATTAAAATACGAAATTTTACAGTCACATAAATAAAATATAGATATAATTTGAACTACACGCATTCTATATTTCGAGAGAAAATGGATTTTACAATAGTTGATCGAGATTTAAGTTATTATTTCACAGAGTAAGGAATATATTCGGCACATTCGATAAATATTTTCCATTCAAGACAAGTCTCGACATGTAAGAGAGTTAAATTATTTTGAGGTACAGTATATCAAGAAGAAAATGAATTTAAATGACTTTTCACTTCTGATTCTGTATGATTGCACGCATAACAGGTAATTGGAATTATAATTAAATAAAGGAAGAGCATGTGCCTATAATGTGAAAAGAGGATTGCGATTTCAGAACAATACCGAATTGATTCGTATGCGACTGATAGTGTTCGACTTGTTACGATATATCCCCATTTCTTTTTTTGCAAATTTTCCATTTTCTTCTTCTTCCCTTCCCTCTCCCCCGCTGTTCGTACTTTCTTCGACTGCCTCTCCAGATAAGAACAATTCTCCCGTACCGAATCTGACGTTTTAATCTCAAGTATCCAGATGGGTTCCATGATTTCGTACGTAAGGAGGTAAGGATAGGAGGTGGAAAGAATTGGAGAATTTAAAAGTACTTGGCAGAACGAGAAAGTTTACCACGAAATAAAAAAAGTAGAATCGATGCTGGAGATAATAATATATACACGCATTTTATACATTTTACGAGTATATAATTTGAAAAAAAAAAAAAAAGAAATAGTTGATGATATTGGGATACAGTCGAGCCGTGATTACGTACACAAATAGAATCTGATGTTGATAGAGAATTAACTTTGCTCGAAACGTGACTAACACCCATGAGTCTCCCTCGGGACATATATCGTTGTGACGAATCTCCGAACGGAAGCATTTCTACGTTATTGACAAAATTGAGAACCCTCACGCATCGATCGTACAAACGAGAGAAGAAAACTATTTCGGGAAGGGGATATAAGTTCAAACATGTTGAAAAACTAGTTGGCTCGGTGAAACTTTAATTCAGTATTAAGCTCGAACGATTTCGTTTTGATATTCCAGAAATGTCATTTAGTTGCGCGACTGAAATACTCCCATATAGTGTAGTTTAAAAAACGTAATGACTCACTCTCACACACGTTCCGGGTTGCACTCTCTCACGAAGACGAAATCACTGGTATTTGTTGGTTTGGTGTCATTGTTACGGCGTTATACAATATATTACACTGAAAGCGATAGTCGTTGCACTTTGTTAATACCCTTTCCTCTCGTTCTCGTTGTTCGACCTCTCGGTGCGTGTTTCATCCCTTATCTCCGAGTCACACAACGCACAATCGGTGAAAAAAAGATCGATGAGGATTCATGTCTCTTAAATTCTTGGCCAGTCGTGGACTGTCGTTGCTACACTAACTTGGCACGCGTAAATTACTCTCCGCCATTTAATACGGACGCTATCTACTCCGGTCAGTCTTTGTGTCATCTTTTGTAATTGCGTGTGTGTGTGTGTGTGTGTGTGTGTGTGTGTGTGTGTGTTTTATGTGCACGTGTATTATGTACGAGCGTCTGTCTTTCGTGTCGTTTGAGTTCTAATTTTTCTTCCTTTTATTCTCTCTTTAATTGAGTCCGTTAATTAGAGAGACCACCGCCGATATCAACGACGAGGTCGTCGTTCGCTTTCTTTTTCTTTTCGGATCTTGCTTATCGAATTATCGTTACGACCAGAGCAATTAGTAGAAGCGTCACGGTCGTCATCACGCCCGTTGCTGAATCTGAAATTAGACAAGATATTTCACTGTTTAAGATTGAAACGTCAATCAATATGAAGACTTTCTATAGAAGCTATATTTCTCAGTTTAAATACGTACATTTAATATTTATATAATAAGAATCAATAATTTGCTTATAACTGTTAATGTATTTGCTTCATTTTTGAACAAACATCGCACAAATTTCGATACTAACGTTAATAAATCTCTGTTTATAAATCATTTAATTCTTTCTAAATAACTTAACTATATTTGAAATATTCTTTAAAATATAATATTATACCAGATAAGGAAGCGTGAGAGAATTACGAACAAGAGGTAAACGTAAACGATATTATTAGCAGTACATATTAGAGTAGTGATAATCTCTCATTTCTCACACCCATCGATATGTTATCAGTTTCATACTACAATATGTAATCATAGAGCACACTGTTTAGGATAAATACAATTACACTGTAAAAAATAAAATATTAATTTTAACTTATAGTTGTATAGTGAACTTTCTGAGACATGCAAAAATGTTAAAAATTAACATGTCTCAGAAAGTCCACTATATAACAATAAGTTAAAATTAATATTTTATTTTTTACAGTGTACATGTTTTCGATGTTTTTGAGAATAAAGGAAAGTGGGATAATTCTAATTACTTAAGAGAAATGTTAAATAAAATCAACAACTTATCAATTATAGACATTTTTATTCAAAGATTATTTGATTTTAAATTACAACAATTAACATTCGTATATTATCAATATAAATTATAACTTTAAATAAGAAAGATACCGTAATACCTATGCGTGCAATGGGCAAGGATTTTGTTTCTATTATAGTTTATATTGATAATACATGAATGTTAATTATTGTAGTTTAAAGAATCGAAATATTTTTTTGAATAAAGACTTCTACAGTCGAGAAATAATAGTCGGTTTTATATTTAACTTTTTCCTTAGTGTTTGCAGTTCCTTCACTCTCCCCACATATATGGTATATTGTACCAGATTCTAATATCTCGAGAAAACTATAGCACGGAGAGACCTTCGCTCTCGCAATGATACGGGATAAAAAGGGAAGGGTTCTCTCGCCATCGGTAGCCTCGAGAGGTCAATGCACAATCAAGGGCTTGGGACGACGAGAATCTGTCGTTACCCCGTTGCAGGAAGGTTGCTACGGAAGAATCCCTCTCCTTCTGAGAGAGGATATGCCGAGAAAACGGAAACGAGTGCAAAGGGATGAGTGCCGATTAGTCGACGGCCCAAGCGAAGTAGATACAGAAGAGAGAAATAAAGATGGACGAGAGGAGAGAGGGGCAGGGGAAAAAAAGAACAAAATGAAGAGAAAAAACGGGGGGAAAAATGGGAAGTCAGTTATTCTTCCGGTTGGCCTGTACTGTGCCGTTAGCTATTACTCGCTTGGAGAGAAATGTATTCTCCGGCCTTTTCCTGGCCTCACTCATCTCTAATTACGAATCAGAAACAACCTGGTGGGCCGTCGCCTCCGCTGGTCGGATCACCTCCTCCTTCCCCGTCTCCTTCACCCTTTTCTGTTCTCCGCGACCCTTTCTAGAGTCTTTCCGACTCTCATTCAAGGCTCGTAAGCAGTAACTTGCCTCCCTGACCCCCTTTTCCCCTCCTCTATCTTTCTTTTATCAGGTCCCTGACGCTGCCCCAGGAGAATTCTTCGCTTCGCTACTTTTGTGCGATCTTACCTTCCTTCAATTCGCGATTTCTCGCCCTATCCCATCCTTCTCCCCTTTCCTCCTCCCTTTCCTCTTCTCTCCTTATCTCATCTCTCCTCTCTTCTCCTTTTCCTTTACGAGAGGAAAATGCGTTATGTATTTATAGTCAATATTTACATTTCATTGTTACACCCGAGAACGCGAGAATTGCAAATTGCCATGTCCCGTCTCATTAGATTTGTAATACGAGATAGATATTAACTCACCGTACATTTTCCTCTGATTTACACGCTGTCCATATTCGAGAGTACATATCGCATCTACGTTTACTTGACACAATGAAAAATCGACATGTGACGCGTGATATATAATTTCTTATCTTTCGGTATCGGAATAACATCGGACATCGGACATCGAACTCGTCACGACCATATCGTCGTCGAACAGCTAGCAATTTAACGTTAATCTCACAGCAGAATTTTCCATAGAACGTCCGATATTTCTGGCATTCTTTCCATCGCACTTACATGTGGCAGCTTGCAACGCAGTTTCCCTCGTTACTGGTTCAACCCGCCTTTTTCCATGCGAAATTACCTTACTTCCCTGAGACTATCGCGATCGTCCCCGCGGAGAAAACGGATTTTCACACTACGCCATTATGCAAATTCCTCTTAAAAGTAACCGCGGTCGAGCGAGATATTGAGAGACGGTAGCGCAGAAGCGTAGAAGGAAGGAAAACCGGGACAGGGATCGAATTACTGTAGAGACGCGCGGGTGAAGACGGATCATGGAAGGAGGAAAAAATGCGAGGGTAGAAAAGAATTATCCGATAATGCCGAAGGCTCGGCGGAATTATGAAAGGTGCTACCACACCTGGCCGCGCTCAGAAATGCGGTAGACGCGGCTGCTCAAATGCCACGGCGGAGCCGCGAAATGCCGGATAAACCGCACCTTCGACGGGGAAACTCGTTCGCGTTTTGCCTCCTCGTGCAGGGGCTCATTCGTCTTTCGCGACAAGGGATTCATAGAAGCCAGATTTCATAAAGCAACGAACAACCCCGTTTTGTCGTTTAATGTACGTACATTTTATTGCGTATACGTCACTTAATAGGTCATATTATATAAATGTATGATATATGGAATATTTCTTTGACGTTATACCATGCGAGACACTATCGGAGTTGTATAAAAAGTAGATATGTGTTACGAAAAACGCAAAATGTAATTATCACGCACGATGAATTATTCTAGAGAAAAATATTTTGTTTCTTACGAAAAAAAATGTATTTATTGAAAAACATAACACTCTCTTTCTGTTCTATATGTATGCTAATTTAAATGTGTTAGATTTATCGATTGTATGATTATTTATAAATTTTAGAATTTAATATACATACTGAAAAAAAGAGTTTGCAGCCCAGGACTAAAAGCCAAGGATTCGCGAGTCGAAATTTTAATTTTTGTTACAACATGTAAATCTCTAAAATCTACATATATTCTAGAACTAAGGTTCAAAATAGGAGCAAAATTTTGATTTGGATGGTAATAGTAACCGAATGTTGAATGAAATAATTTTAATCAAATATTTAGTTAATAGAACTATAATTAAATTTTGCTTTTCCAAATATTTAATAAACGATTATACATGTGTGTGTGTGTGTGTGTGTGTGTGTGTGTGTGTGTGTAATGATTATATTATTATATTTGGTAATATAGTACTTACTGAATATTTAGAAAAGTAAAATTATATTTATTAACCGGATATTTAATTAAAATTATTTCAACATTTGTTAATTATTGCTCTTTTTTTCAAAGGTTGAAAAGTTCATCTATATGTCTATGTATTTATGCATGATTATATATATATATATATATATATAATTTCAATTATACGTTAATTTTATTATATTTTATTCAACTTTGATTATGTTGTATACTCACCCTTATCAGGAGGCCAGTTGTAATTTCCTTTTCTATCCAGTTCGGACGACTTCTGCTCCGATTTTCCAATTTCGTTCAGATTCGATTGGAACTTGGTGCCTTGAGACAAAAATATGAAAAACATGTTTATGGAAAACATCATGTATATCGACATTACGTATAATGCGATGCAGACAATAGGTTAATAATAAATATACAAGGATATTCCCAAGAAAAATATTTTTCCGCGTTGAAAAGTCCACCGCGAACTGGCGACAATTTGTTTCCCGGATGTTATGGGAATGAATCCCGGACGTTATGGGAATAAATTAAAAATTCAATCTCGCTTCGAGATATTATAGCGCAAAGTCGTCGGTGGAACAGAGGAGATGAGATCTGAGAGAACAGAAGGAGCGAAAGGAGAGACTTGCGTGGTTCGCATAGCGGAACCACGGACAAAGGGACGTACAACGAGTGGCCCTCTCGACTGAAGATGTTTACGAGCCTGTTACGCATAAAGTGGGTGGCAAACGCGTTAACTAGTATGCAAACTCCGAGTAAACACAATTCCCTTATCCGCGCCAAGTAGATTCTATCCATGTCACGACACACGCTTGTCACAAGCTCGCCGCGTTTTGGATTACATTCTTGCAGCGAAACAGCTCGTGATGAGTATATATTTTATAATAAAATTACACAACCAGCTCTTACGTGTGTCGGTTTTATCGTGTTATCGTGGGTACGTGCTCACCGTATATGAAGCACACAAGGTGATATAAATAAATAAATATCTTATTGTTCAAATATACGTATACATTTTTGTCTCTTTACCTAATAATCATAAAAATATATTTAATGTAATTATTATTATTGAAAAGATAAAGCTTCCTCTTATAATATCAATAAATAAAATTTCGATTTTCCTTACTCTATTAAAGGGATGCTGAAGTTACCGACGGACCGCGCATTTCGTATTTTTTCATTCACTTTGTGTTTTTCTTATATAGAATAAAAAATTCTTTTCTAAAATAAAAGAAAAAACGCAAATAGCCGTGGGAAACCAAACCTGTATAAAAAATTATAAAAATTATAACTTACAGTTTCCTATTACTACGTAGGTAGTTTATTTCTTCACACACATATATATTATATAAATGAATTCAAATATATAAATAATAAAAAGTACTTTCCCACATTTGAATAATGTATAAGAACATAATGAGACCTTCAAATCATGATTTTGAAGCTTGCAAGAGAAATAAATCAAAAAGTACGAACATGTACATAATCAAGTATTTATGTGATGTATATATATATATATATATATAGGATATAGCAGAGCAAGAAATGTACGTAATAATTTAATTAGAAATAAGAATCTGTTTTATAGACATCGATCCAGTTCGGCCGCGTGCGCGCGCGTCGCTCTAGCGTTTCCTTAAATTATTATCTTTATTCATTTGTATTAATTTTTTTCTTCATTCTAATTGGAAAAGTAATAACTACAATGTGCCAGATGTTACGATTCAACTATAAATTAATCTACAATCTAAACATAATTTGTAAACTACGTTTACAGATTAATATAAAGTCAAATCATATCTTTTTCTAAGTTATGCTTATTAAAATACCATTACAATGGCACATTATAATTATTATATATCAATTATAAATTATAATTGTTACATATATATAAAAGTTTTGCAATTTTTCTAAGTTTATATATTTGTATGTAAACAGATGTTATGCATTCCCCATTATTTTTCGCAAGATTATAATCGGTTCTCATTCATCAACGTTTGTTGTATCATTTTTCTAAACCTGCGTAAACGCATATAAGACAGGTAACATGCCAAGTTAGCTGAAACGCTACCGGTATAAACGCAGCTTTACTAACATAGGACCAGCGCTGCAACAACGGGTAGAAAGCCGCGTGTAGAGAGGCTGCCAGCACTTCCGGCTTAATTTTGAGGTACCTACGAAGCAAGGTGCTTGTGAATATCGCTTTGTGTCTTCATTCCCTCACGATTAGATTTGTAAGTTCATGACCCCGCGGCAGTGCTAGTCAGTTTAGGTAAGGGACAAGGCGAGAACTGCGAGGCAACGCAGGGAAAGCACACGATCTTGGCACGATAGCCTATTTCGGGTAAGGTAATGGGCGATCATGACGGCGTACGCGCGCGCTTGCGTAGGTCGCTTGTACGCTGTATATAATATACCAAGCTGATAGTACAGAGTAAGGTTGCCGCCACCGCCGCCACCACCGCCGGATACACCCTCGGACAACGAGGTGAGACAACCGTTGTACGGCGACGCAATGGATAGGCTAGACAGACGTATGCAAATCTCGACCAAACATTAGCAGTGACAATGTGTAACGTGCGCTGTATGTATATCTATGCGCCTGGGCCAGTTCTATAGTTTCCTATATGCGAGAATCTCTATCACGATGAGGCTGTTTCTGTAACTATGCGTGGGCGACGACGTGTTTAGGGAACCAGACGTATAGCCTTCATCGCCCGAGCATAGAGGCGTGTAAAGCTCCACGGGAACGGGTAAGCTTCGTTATCTCTAATAGTTCAGGATTTCGTTGTGGAGCAACGAGCAAGAGTTAGTCACGATAAAATTGTGCGTAAATAAATTTTCAAGCAAAAAAAAACGGTTAAGATGGAAAGAGGGGGGGGAGGGAGGGGGAAGAAATTAAGGAGGAGAGAGCGCATCAAAGCGTACTTAAAACAAAAACCAGATATAAACCGAATCGAATAATGATGAAATTTTATATTTAATGATTGCGCCTGATATCCCTGTAAATGGCCAAGGCAAATTAAAGTAGGTACTCACTTTCATTAATTCATCTGTGAAAAATAAACGTGCTCGACCGTACGTAATTATTTGGAAGTTGATCGAAATATTGCGAGCTATTAATCTGGCGCAAAAATCCGACGCTCTTTCGTGTCGCAATAAAAGGACATAAAAATATTGATAAACGTTTTCAGACAATCTGACCTAAAAATTCGTTTATTGCATATAAATCTGCGATGTCGTTATATTTACCAGGGTCTTTTTGAAGTATGAATTTTAAGATATTTCAAATGAGAAGAGCATGAATTTGCAATTTATAAAGATTTGATTTGTCAGTATATCAGTGTTTCAAATATTGGACATAATTCGTAATGTATAAAGAGGATTATAAAGGAGATACATTGATGTATTTAATTAGTTTCCAATGACAATTTGATAGTATTAATAAAATATTGCGGTACTATTGTACAAAAGTGTTTCATCCAGAGTAGTCCTTCACTCGAGACTGACTGACAATGAATCGTGCATGTAAAAGATTGTATTGGTTAAAAAAAAAAAGAAAATAAAAGATAAAGCTCTTGGTGCCCCACACATTGATTCCATATCCCGTTTGGATTTGATAATCCCAGGATTCTAGCAATTCTACTGTCAAAAAGAAACTACTGTCGACACAAATAAGTCCCCCCTAAAAAGTTAGCGTTTCGTGCAGTTACTTCTCATTGATTTTACGTCCAGTGGGTCATGATATTCCCGCTCACACGTTCGCACGATTCGAGGTTGACGGGTCAGTGCAGACGCGTTTAACTATTTTCGATGAGATTGTGGATTTAGCTTTCCGTTCTGCATTCCATGAATATCAAACCGTCTCGGTGTTGACGCGTGCGTGTACGTTTGCCTTGGAATCAGACAGACCGTACATACGCGATAAAGGCAATGATATTCCTTGTCCCAGGTGGTTGACCGACTGTGCCCCAAGAAAATTAACAGAGGTCTAAGGTCCTGCACGCTGAGATCTAAAGTTATACGGCTGTGTCATGCGGCGCGCAATATTGTCACGACGTCACGAGCGCGTTCTAATTAATGTGCCTTTACAATGTTAATTTAGGTCGTAAATAATTTCGCGCGATAGCGACAGCGTACGCGATTATCAACGAATAAACGTGATAAAAACGATTTTTGACTTGGCGATTTGACGAAGCGATTTGATCTTGCCTTACACGTCACAAGTGCGACGAGAGCTCGTGCTGTTAAACGGCGCTTTTACGCACCTCTACTCCTTCACCTCTATACGTGCGCGCATACAATAGAATAGGGGACGTGTTAATCGTACGAAAGCACGCGGCTAAACCAATCGCTATACATGCTCTCCCCAAATTACAGGCGGACAACGCTGCGCCGGGGAATTAAGCGACACCTAAGGGCATATGTGCTCCGGGAGATGTCACGATACCGCGACAATACTTGCCCAGTTCCCCATCGGAACCTCAAAGTGACTTATCGCCGTAGGCCGCCGTGTACCGTCGCTTCTGTACGTAATTTGCCATTCGCGAACTGCGCGCGACGCGACTTTTAAGAGGGAAACGGAAATGGACAAGTGCCCCGCAATGCACTATTTTAATTCCTTTTAAAGCTGGCCAAAACGTCATTTTTTAATTATTAAATTATGATAATTATTTAAAATAATTTTATTGCATTACACTGAAAAATTATAGAACCAACAATTTTCTAAGTCAAGTTCTCTGTAAAATTATCAGTTTTCAAGCATATTTTTTAAAGATATGAAATGGTATGTAATATTTGTTTCCATTTTATATTTTCGGATACAATTTATGTAAGAGTAACCAATTTTAGCTAAAATAAGTATTCATATTTAACATTTAGACAATATTTATTTCTTCTAGTTCAATAAATCATACCTATAAAAAATCCGATGATGCCTGATTGAGATCTCATTTTGAATATAAATGTCTAAAATGGTCAATTCCTTACAGAAAAAACACATCCTTATTCCTTTTACTGATATTGTAAAATATTTGATAGAAACATCTAAAAGCTTGTCTACATAGACAATCGTGAAGTTTTAAGTCATAAGAAACTGACCATTCACAATCAAATATAAGGAGAATACTCGATATTAGGATATTGATCAATTTCTTACGATTTGAGATCCTACAACTGTCTACAACTCCTATGTAGACGAGCCTTAACATGTTCATCACGATAAATTATGTAATATATTATCTGTATATGTAGATGTTACTACTCTATTAAATTTCAAAACCAATTTTACGTTAAATGTTTTTAATAGTGATGATAGCGAATAATTTACAAAGTAAATTCAAAATGTTATCATGACATTATACGTTATATATCTTTTTATTATTTTAAATTATAAAAACCATTTTAAACAAAATTTATTTAAGAATTGGAAAGAGTAAGGGCACTAGGAGTCGGGCGCAGAAGACGTCGCGCAAATAATACACTTATAAAGAGTGAAACTTCTTTATTCACTAAACGCGCTTACATGTTTCGACTCATTTTTGAGCCTTCCTCAGAGCAAACACACATTAACATATATAAAGTAAAAATTATCCTATCATGGTGAGCTCCCCTACATCGAGAATTTAAATGTCAGAATTTATTTAACAAGTGACATAAATAATGTATAAATAATTTTGACCAAGTTTAGAGGTTTTTGGAATCATTGTGCAATGACAACTGTGACTTAACGTACAAGTATACAAAAATTAGGGAAAATATCGAAAAAAAGAAGCTCTCAAAGCTCTCTATATATCTTCTTCAATATATGCGCGCGTATTGTGCATCTAATATGAAATATAAATTTTTTATGTTGCTTTGTATTGTAACTTTTACAAGCAAAGCCTACCTTTTCTCATCTAACGAATAACATCGTCTTATACTGGGGAAAGTTAAAACGCGTCGCGTTATGTTTAGGTATTCTCGACAACAGATTGTCGTAAGTTACTACGAGCAAATAAGGCCTGTTTATGCTTGGGTTTCCGTCCGTGTGAAGGAAACTCAAGCAAATCTTCTGTTTAATCTTAAGCGTACACTTGCGCCCTTGAATTTTCAACGATACGAATAACGAGAAACAGCGGCGCAAATAGGCGGCGACCGCTAGATTGTTTAAAGAGGACATTACAAAAAGATGACAAGGTAGTTGCGAGACGGAGGACTGAGATAAATTATCTCAGGGAAAAAATGTACTGCGAAATACGAGAGAGCTGTTAGAATCGTAACGAGCGTAACGTAGATATAAAAAGAGACGCTAGCAGACTAAAAGGGAATAAGTCAAACAGATATGTTAAGGAAAGAAGATGACATAAAAATAAAGTGCTTAAAAGAACTGGGAGAAATGGAAGCAGACACGGTTAAATGTAACTGGGATAAGGAGAAGAGAAAAAGAAACAATGCGATAAGAGAAAAAGGCGATTCTCTCGGAGAATCCTGGCGAGATCGAGGGACGGAACGGAGGAGAGGGAACAGAGATGAGGGCGAGAGAGCACGAAGGGAGCAAACATTAATGCCACCTTGCAGACCGCAGATGTTGCACCAATTACAAACCTCATCCTTCCTTCGCAGCCCGTCCTTTCCTTCCTCCCGACCTCCGCAAATAGAGAAGGAGAGAGACAAGGAGACATATGCCGTATTCAAACTTACCACGTCCCGCCGCATTCACCATCTTCCTCTCTTCGCCCCTCAGCCCCCATCTTTTCACTCTCACCTTTCCGCCGTCTCTCAACCCGCCCCCGGGGCGATGACATTGGTTATACGGGAGGAGACACACGGTAGACACAGTAGAGACGGCGAAGCTCAACGAGACACGAATTTTCGATTAAATTTAACACGGGGCGCAAAAGGACGTCAGGGCGCTGCACGTTGCTGTTTTAGGTGATAGAGCAAAGCGAAGGACAAAGAAAGAAATAGAGGGGTGGGGAGGGAAAGGCGTGGATGGGGACGGAGAACGCGGTCTACACAGCGGTGGCTGATATTATTCTTGGGTCTTCCTCGCTGGAGCATTATTAGTTCCGGCGTGTTAGCATACATGAAATATTGATGTTACACGGATCTCTTCTACCCAAGTCAACCCCAGTTCCCCCCTCTCTCTCTCTCTCTCTCTCTCTCTCTCTCTCTCTCTCTCTCTCTCTCTCTCTCTCTCTCTCTCTCTCTCTCGTTCGCTCGCTCGCTCGCTCTCTTTCTTTTTCGCTTCTGTCTATTCATCTATCCTTTCTACTCTTGCATATAACTACCACTCATGTGTGCCTGTTACGAACATCACTTCAGTTGCCTCTCTGTTACCTTTATGTTTATTCTACCATTCTTTTTATTCTTCACACTCGTTTCTCACCTAAATTTTTTTGACAGTCACTTCCGCGTTTTGATTTTCTAAGTAAACATCTGCAGTTTTCGAAAGTAACGTAATGTATTAAATTGAAATTTTTTCTTCTTCAAGCTTTTTTTGATAGATTTAATCTATATTTATTTCAATTTTTCTTTTAGGGGGAGATATGGATATCACTAATATTTATAATTATATATACGTGATGAATGTACGTTATTTTGACAATACATTGTGTGATTTAAAACAGCTGTGTTCATTTCGATCATTTTGTATAATTTAAAAGAAAGATTCCGTTCTCGAAAAATTCCAATTGTTATCCCGTTACAGACTCTCATTTCCGTGGTTCTCTTTCGCCCTCTGTAGAGAGCTTTAAAGCGAACTGCTTACCCTTCTTCAAACCACTCTTAAAGCCGCAATCGATTCCCGGGATTCCCTGGTGGGTCCCCTGGCTCTAGTTAACATCGAAGTTAATCGCGTTGGAGATTCAAAGTATGTTGCTGGAAAATCCAGTTATGGGATGGCATTTGACTATACGTGATGCTAGATTGAATATGTAAATCCGTTCTAGCTAGATTACGATTTTACTAACACGTAGACTACACAGGTTGGAACTTTTGAGTTTTTTCATGTATTTGCAAAGATGTTTGTTAATGCCAATAATAAATGATTTAGAAATATATCAGAATATTTCTGTGCGTTTAATACACATAATGCTACAATTAACAATCCTTCATAATTCGTAAGAAATATTTCATTTAATAGATTTCTCCTTTTATCATTTTTGACATTACGTCTGCATTTTTAAATTCTGTTCTCTGTCTCATTATTTCACCCTTTTTTCGAACGTGTAAGAAAAATCTAAATGATTGATGTGCTCTTTTCAAATAAAGATATATAAAAGATCCAAGAGAATACTTTTACCAAATATATCTCGAGTGCTTGTTACTCTTCGTATATTATACGCTCACGTGACAGCCGACGAGTGCACCACTTCGTTGAAATGCGAAGTTATGAAATCAATCCCATAATTCGCGAAATTGTGATGATGTACGTTGGAAATTACATAAAAAGAAGATATATATACCGCTCCGAGTACTCACCTGTCTTGATATTCTTCTCATTTTGAATTGTCAGCGAACTTGGATTTCCGTAAACAGAGTTATTCATCTCCGCCATGAATTCCCAATCTGCAAAAGTAAACGCGCGTTGGAAAATTAGATTCAAGCTAGTAAATATACGACATGAATAATATCCATTACGGTATAAATGGAAGCATCAAAACTTATGACATAATTTTAATAGCACGATCTGCAATAATTTATCAATTTTGTAATGTTTTATGTACTCGTATATAACCGTTGTGAGAGGAATCTGTCTCTAATATCTACCTTTTTTGGGGACCTCCGTGGTAGACGGGCTGGGACTGGTACTTGGTGGTGCAGACACTGTAACAAAACAAGTTTCCATCTTTAAAAATCGAGTATACGTTATAAATATTCAAAATATTCGTATCTCAATCGTACAAAAAGATTCAGTCTTTCTTCATTCGTCTTTTTTTTTCGTGAAAAAGAACATAATTATTTTCAATATTTCAAAGAGTCGTGCTTTCTCAAATCCTCTCCCTCGATTCCAATCTATGGTACGCTCGCGTATTTCTTTTTGTTTTCATTCCTATTGTTACCAGCTTGTCTCGCGACTGCTTACATATTTTTTACATTTTTTACCTTCTAAAGAAGGTACGAGAATATTCATTATTTCGAACCGTCGTTTATTTTTTGGAGTAATTCGAGAAATTACATAAAACAAATATGGAATTAAAATGAAAACAGACCATGTAGAATTACGTGTTATATCTATATGTATGTACATATTTACACGCAACCAGACAAAATATTTTTGTCCTTCCAGATTGGGTAAATTCTACACTGCGCGATATTATGGATCGCGCCACCTGTTACTAACTTCTCTCCCGGAACGTATTAGCCGCTGTAACGCCGGCCAAGCCGGCCAAACTCTACATCATATTTTACTCCGGTACTACCGACATCCGCGCCTTCCACCCTACACGCGCCTCTACGCGTAACTTATCCGGGTGTATATACCTGAATAATTATTCGTAATTTCATCATTTGTCTTTAGCGAATGCGTCGTCGACCGGATTTATTACCGGCTGCAACTGTCCGCGGCTGGACGTGTTTATTGCAGAAATTTCAACTAAAAATTTACAGGATATGGTATTAATTTAAATTAATTAGTATTGATAACTTTGTTATAATCGTTACGCTCATCGCTGGATATATGTATCGGTATCGCATTAGCAGTATTATAATTGTTTTATCTAATCCTACTGCTAAAAAATTTACTTTAATTATGCTATTGGCCCATTTTTATTCTTTTATGTACAAAGATATCTTTTTATAGACATTCAGGAAGAGTAGGAGAACCGCGAACACCTAGGGAAAAATTATATAACTCCGACGTTTATTTATAATTAATAAAGTTTTTATTTAAAAGATACCAGTTATTTAGCTTTAAATTACAATAATTAACATTCATTATTATATCACTATGAACTATAAAGTCTAAGAAAAAAAAAACAGAAAAACGTAAATCAACAAGACGTAAGTATAAGTTTTTTATATGTCATCTTAATTTTAAACAAAAAACGAAACTCTTTAGAATTATCCGCTACCACATGAGTTAATGATAAATCAATTTTTGTGTTTTTATTTAAACTTAGTAGTTTACATAAATAATATATAAATATTATAGTTTAAAGCCAATATCCTTTAAATAAAAACTTCTATAATTGATAAATAATCGTAAGTTTCATTCAATTATTTCCTTAAAACATGTATTGTTATTTAACAAGGTATACATTCTATGGTCACGTACAGTGCGGCACTATAAGTATACCGGACTACCACTGGATGCGAGAAATGAGAGGTTATTACTACTCTTATATACTGCAATAGAGTATCGTTCACGTTTACCCCGTGTACGTAACTCCCCTTGCTATAAGTATTTTTAATATTAACTCTCTATTTCTAATTAAATTTTTGCATGATATGAGAAGTAAAGTTCTGTTGAACATATTATCATACATTTCAATTCAGGTGTGTTTGAGAAAAAAGCAAAATACGGAATAAAAGGATTAAAAGGCAGATTTTGTGCGAGAAATATTCTCTTAGTATCAATACAAATGCTACATTAAATATCCGCGTTCATGGAATTAAATAAATTATTTATCCTGCAAAGTTCCGTATGATTATTCCTTTTAGTACTTTCTACGGCATAAGTTTGAAGAAGCATAATTTAGTATCTATTGATAGCCTCGATATGGAGGATGTGTCCACAGCGAAAGAGGTCATTGCTATTTGTCACAAGCACCTGAGCGATTACTAAGCGGCAAGGTTGAGAGAGGGTGCACGCGATGCACGTTGTGGAGGTGCGTTCTCCCCAAGGTAAATAGGATAGGATGACAAAGTATGCGCCTCAGCAGACGTGTTTACACACGCGAACGTAATGCAAATATGTAGCCCCTGTCGTCTTTTCCGTAAGATAATACCTAAATGACTTTCAACCCCCGGCCCCATTTTACTTGTTCGAGTGGCAATGTTTGCCGCAAAAATTACAGCAACGACATGTCGACGTGCAACTTTATCTCGCGACGTTTGTCACCGTACACGCGCGCGAGATGGGGTGCGAATGTAAATCAATAAAATTTATATCATCGAAAATTGGATGGCGAGACACTGAATTTGCGATTGTCATTGTCGTTCATAAGCTTCTCCGCATATAAAGATCAATATTTCAATATCTGTGCAAACAAATTATGATTGTTGCCATCAAAATTGTCATCGTTCGTTATTGTGGTTATTATGAGGCTACTATCCAGTTTTATAGATATAAATATGGCACGCACGGTGGACGAAATTCATTTATCATTTTTGCAAGTCACTGATGGAAGGCAAAGAGATTAAAGCTGAGAGCGCAATGAGGAAAAAGCGAGAAGGTAGAAGAAAGTAAGAGAGAAGAGAACGATAGAGAGGAAAGAGGGAAAAGAAGAAAAAAGGGCAAGAGGAAAAGAGAGAGAAAGTAAGGCAGCGACTTTTCACCTTTGATTTATCGCGCTAACTTTTATTTTCCTCAGGAGATATTAAAACCCGTTGTCCTGACCATTTAGCTTCACTGAGCTGATTGATGATTGGACCAGTTAACGTGCTGACCTCTGCCGACGAATCAGCTTTTTCATTATGCCCAATTAATATGCATTTGTAGCATACTACAGTCTAGAAATTTAATTGCCAACCTAATTAAAATTTAATTCAGAGTTAGATTGTTGCAACTTTGCAAGAAAGATTCATTGATCAATAATTACACTGAAAGAAAAAAGTTCCTGTTTCAAAAAAATATTAGTTGATTTAACTAAATGCAGTGGTCACGGGCTCTCAAGCAAATATTTGTTAATTTAAACAACTGTTTGTTAATTCAAACAAATAATATGTTGACATGACTCGTGTATGTTTAACTTAAATATATAAATAGTCGAACTATTTATATAATCGCTTTAAAATAATCGCTACAAACTAAATGCATTTAGTCAAGTTAACTTTTTTTTTCTCAGTACAATTATCAAAAATTAATGGGAAAATTTACCGTGAATAAAAAATGTTTCGATGCCGATATAAATATAAAGATACACTTTAATTTAGTATTTTGCCGCAGAAAAATCATAAATAAAATCCAGTAAAGATATAGAAAAGAAATATATCGTGCGATTTTTACTATTTGTAAAATTTATATGTCCTAAAAAAAGTTATCTATTCAAAAATGCATCGATTTAAAAGCAATTATCGTAGTCAGTGTGCCAGGAGAACTCATTAAAATCTTAAGATGTCTTAATTAGTTTAATAGTATCATCCCTTTTCATCGGTACATTACTAAACGATCTGTTTCTCCCTTTCCCGTTCGCTCATTTGCCTTCCATCTAATTTCTCCTTGCAACGTGCGATGAGTATACGCAAGACGTTCAGATGTCTAATGTAAATGTTATTCACTAAGCGAGTAATTTTGTTAGCGTATCTTAGCACTGAATTACATACAATTAGGAAACCAATATTAATAATCATAAGGAATCTATTTGTAGAATATTAAATATGTATATCAAGGTGTGCAAGTATAAAGAATCAAAGTCAATTCATAGGGGATAAGACACGTTAGAAAATTGGAAATGAAATAATAACGATAATTACTGGTTTTTAACGAAATATCGAAGTATTAGAAAAACGAGCTTTTAGAAATAAAGTTTGAATTAAAATTTGTAATACATCCCATATAATGTGCATCGATCTAAGACCGATATTTATAGTCGGTTCTTATTTTCAAATCGTCTTAAATAATATCTCAAGATGCTAATACGGCTCTGCGATTGGTTTATGACATCTTAAGACTGTACTTAAGACTGTACTTAAAACCGTCTTAAATATAAGACTCGACTATGAATATCGATTATAAAGATATCTTTAAACATGCGTGATATCTGGAATAACAATCTTAAAATACAAGTTACTTCAGAAGAAAAATTACTTGAAAATTTCTTTAGTTTATTTTAACATCATTTTTAAAGCAAAACATCAAGTGTAATCATCGTTTATCGTACTTTTCTGATTCTCCAACCTTATATTTGAAAATAGTTTAAATTATACTTTAATATTCATTTGAAATTAATTTTGATCCGCTCTCTCTTATTTGTTTTTCTCATGATTTCTTAAGAGTTTGTCAAAGGTGTTTCTTATATTTTTTATTATTAATTCATTGAAAACTATTTCAGTTTCTCGATACCTTCATGAGAAAAGATCCATTCCGAATTAGTCAAAGAGACGATAATAACTTTCGATAAACGGCCCGAACTTTTCGGACCTCGTAATTCGTACCGTATCGTACATTCTTTATCTCACGTATCGCAGCACGGTGTAATTAAATTACACACGGTCTGAATTGTAAATCGTTTACGGTATGCATTAGGCGTTAGGCGACCGGGCCGATGGCCACCAATTGTCAATGCTGCCATTATTGCGGTCGGACCGCGATCATTAACTAAATCGACGACAGATACGTAGGAAATAATTTGCCGTAGGCGTCATCGAATCTCAGTGTAGCACGACAAGCAGGAAATTGCCAGGCTTCGTCGGGTTACGATCGCGTAACCTAATTCCATGAAACAATGGTGGTAGCGGACGCGCTGACCCGCTTTTGTCAGCAGCTGCCGCTACACGTCTGTAATTACTCGCGACGAAATCTCTCACTAACATATCGATCGAAGATGTTCGGCCATTTGATTCAATTAGCGATTGGAGAAGTAGATATACAGGTCGTATTAGCAGACCTTCGACCAATACATCTTCGATCCCCATCGACCCCTGCCCCTTCGTAAACACGAAGT